GAGCTGAGGGCGTGGTTGGGATTGCCTCTTAACGCCTTCCACCAATGACGTTCAGTGACGTCATAAATCGCACCGCCCTCCAGCCATCGTAGTCACTGCCTTTAAGTATACCATTGAATGCAATACATTTCTTATGGCAATTAACAGCTCATTCACTGACAAATCAATGGAATTCCGCTGTTCTGTGCGAATTGTGTACATTTTCAGTTGAGCATCAATATGATGAATGGACGATTGTGGATCGAAACATGGTGACAGAGGAGGGCCAGACTACTGTCACCGTGCATCGATCACCACGTTTCATCAATCAGGTACCGGTCCTTTCTTGACTTGCTGCTCAGCTGTACCCTTAAATAATCTTTTCAGGTTCCAAATCTGACTGTCCAGCCGGGTAGTGAGGTGGTTATCGACGTAGAAGTGGACGCTGATCCGCCCGCAAGGTCCGTTACTCGACCCTAGAAACTTTCCGGACCATCCACCTTCAAGATCACCACTGTTTCAGGTTCACGTGGTTTGTGAATGGACGTGAATTCCGCGAATCCACAAATGGTGTCGAACTGTTCTACCCAAGTACGAATCGATGCGTCGTCAAATTCGCTTTCCCAGTTTCCGGCGAATACAAAGTGGTCGCATCGAATGTGCACGGTTCGGCAATGAGCAGCGGATACGTCGAAATTCACAGGGGTAAGTTCTTCTTTTCATAGCTCACTTCAGCGTATCCCAACTCAATGAGTACATTATCGCATTGACCGCAGGTGGCGCGCCGTATCGTTTCTTCTCCCGGGATCGGTTCCCCGACCGCACGAGTGAACCAAATTTTTCGTTCTTCCTAATTTAAGTACTTGAATGGGAGATATGTCTCGGCAAAAGAAAGGCATCCAATTCAGCTTTGCTTTTTAAAATCATAGGTGGAGGTCAAGAGAGAACTCCGTGACTTGCGGAGAATAAAAAGGTGAATTGGAGTGTTCTCTTTGGAATGCGCCACGTATGCAGCTTCTGTTTGAACCCAGCGGAATGAGTACTTGGGGAGGAAGTAGCTGAAGCGCCCACCCCTTGATGATCCTGTTGCTATTATGGCGCGAATACAAATAAATAACCAGACCCAAAATATTGGGTAACTTGGAAACGAACCATACATTTCGAAGGTGCACCCCAAATCCGCTGAAGCAATCCTTTGCGGATAGACTAGATCCGACCACAAAAGTCGTAGATGTCCCTTCATCCTGCTCAAGGTTGCGCGACAAGGGCGCTGGGGCCTTATCGATCGCTTTCCTGTACCCTTATTCACTGTAACATACGGGTGTCTGCGCACTCTCATCCACTGTGCTCTCTCGCCTATCCTCTCTCCTCCACGCTCAGTATCTCATCACCAGAGCACATTCCTATTTTCCAATAAAAGAAGGCCTATACGTAAGGGTTTTTGGCGGGTTCTCTTTTTTCGCCGTCGATCTACTTTGAACCTCTGCTTTCATTTCTTGTGTAGGAAACACATCAACTTCATCATGGTAGGGCCGTTAAGTACACAGCGGCACCTTTGGTCTTGCGCTATAGTGCGCTATAGCGCATCCTCTGACTTATCGTAGATTTCTACCGATGTTTTTCTTTCTAGCAAAACCTTCAAAACAAATGCGTCCGCCGGTGTCGGCCGGCGAGCACATTACGCGCAACATAATGGCAGCCAGTCACCATGCCGGTAGTACTGCTGCCCCTGATGGACAGGAATTGCTTCAAACACATAAGGTTGGTCGTAGCAAAGCGAACCCCTCGATGCTTCTGATGATATCGATCCTCCTTCAGACTGTGAATGTATACGAAGTGAAACTACACCCAACGTGCCTCCAGTGTTCCACGAGGTGTTCGTCATTTGGAAAGTCACGTAGAAATGCCAGTCTCATCACAAAGAAGAGTCTCTCTAGAGCAACATCGCGCAGGTAATCGCCGTTCCCATTTGGGAACGTTCAGCTGTTTTTTGTGTTCTTTTTCCTGTCACTTCTTTCGCTGTGACTTTCGTTGCTCTCACACGTTCCTGAGTTCGTCAATGTGCGTGTGGTGACTTTATAGAGTAGTAGAGACTTCGAGTCAACCAGCTTCATCCTTGAGCTGATTCACAAGAACAAATTCCCACTTTTTGGTCGAGTAGTGTGGGAGAGGAGGAGAGTGCAGCGAAAGTTGCTTGGCTCGAATAACTGCATAACTCGTGTGAACTAATTCCATTTCAGAGCTCGGCAAAAAACTGCCCGATCGTCTTCCACGGTCCCTGTACAAAACGCGAAGCGATGGTGCCCGCTATCTGCCCCACGCACCGAAGTTCATCACCACTCTCCCAGCTGAGATCACTGTGAATCCGAACGAAAAATTAGTGCTGTCCGTCGACGTCTCGGCCATTCCAACAGCGGAATTCCGATGGGACGTGAAACGGATTTGAGGTGAAACCGTCGAAGAACATCACGCTCCTCAACGAACAAAACCGATCGACGCTGGTGGTGCAACCGCCTGTCAAGCAGGGCAAATACAACGTGGTCGCTTTCAACAGCGAAGGCCGGGAGAGTCAGCTGACAAGGGTGTTCCACGAGACACATTTGGTGCAAGAAGCCCAGGCGGTCGACACCAAGACCCGTCCCGACATCCTGTTGGAGTCGTCGGTGACGGTCACCAGCACGAACGAAGCCGATTGGGAAATGGTCGACAGCGTCGCTTCGACTGCTTCGACAACATCTTTCAAGACGGTCACACGACGGGAACCACCTAAAAAGGAAGAAGTACCGAAAACGAAAACTGTAGTTAAGGAAGAAAAAACTGTCGTTATCAAGGAGGTAGCCCCTCAGAAGACAGTGCTTCAAGAACTGACCACCACAGAAGAGACGACCACAAAGACGACGTCTTTTGTCAAGGCGACGTCAGTCCCACGAACTCAAGAGAGCCTTCCGAAAAGACCGATCCTGCTGTCAGAACCCTGGCAAGGTCTTCACTTGAAAGCCGGGGAAAACCTCGTTCTTGAAGTGAAGGTCGAAAGCACTCCTCCAGCCACTTTCCGCTGGTACGTGAACAATTTTGAGGCCAAAACGGGACAGTTCGTCTCCATCACGCAGCCATCAGAGAAACGTCAGCGTCGCGACCTTCTAACTTCGTATACGCAGCCATCATGACGAAACGTCAGCGTCGCGACCTTCTCAAAACCGGCGCCAGGGCAGTACAAGGTGGTGGCGGCAAATCCACTCGGTGAGCGGTGGGTGACCGCTGTCACCCGAGTAACGACAGAGCACAAGGTGGAAGAGCCCAGAGAGAGCACAGCCGTCACCACCACCAGCACGGCCACAGCGAAGCCGCCATTGTTCACACTGACGAAGAAGCCTATAATCACAGTTCGGGAAGATTTACCCAAAACGCGCCACAGAATCCGGCGAGAAAGCTGCCCCCAATTTGGAAATCAACTGCAGCAGAGCCGATTTCTCTGAGTGCGAGCCAACCGCCGTTCCTGAGGCACATTCAGTGGTTGCTCAATAACATTCATGTGATTGAGGCAGACGCAACAAACGTGAGAGATTAGCCGAGTGGCCAGTAATGCTTCGGAATTGCACCTTCAAAAGGTGCAACCTGGAAGATATGACGTTGTGGCAAGAAATCGTCTTGGACAGGACTCCAGCTCCTGTAAGGTGATCGTGCAATACGAGCAAGAACGGCCCGTCTCCCCACCAAAACCGCCCCTCGTTAGTCGGCCATGCCCAAACAGATCACTGCCCGCCTTAGGAGAGAAGATACTACGCTGGAAGTAGTCGCCTCTGGAACGCCTCCATTCAGTTTTAAATGGTTGATAAATGGCAGCACAGTAATCACTTCTAGTAAGGACCACGAGATAGCCGTAACGGAAATCGATCTAGTCTTATTCTTCGTAAATCTGTAGGAAACGATGCGATTGTAACAGTGGAGGTGGGGAATAGTAGTGGAAGAGGCCCGTCAGAAAACCACCGATCAAAGTAGGGTCTCTAAAAAAAGCACCGTCACGAGCCACAGCCAGCCCCAATGCCGAACAAGGCGCCGGTATTCGTAGTAGGCCTTGACAAGATCGAGATGAATGGAGGGCGACACTCTGCGATGCCACGTGAAAGTGAGCGACGACAGCGACGGGTGCACCTTCGAGTGGTACGCCAACGACATGCAGATCACCTCCGGAGAGCAAGTGCTTGTCGAGTCAGGTCCCAGGGAAAGCCGCCTCTCCATAGAAAACATGGGTGAAATGGGTGGCGTCCAACTGAACCGTCGTCGCGCGCAATCCTTACGGAACGGCAGCCACTGTAGCCGAGCTTAACATCACCAGAAGTGAGTTCTGCACAGGTTCCCGCTAACTATGTTGATGTTTGTCTTGTTGAGTGACCTAATTATGTTTATAACGTGCGGTACCATGTGAAAGTTCGACCAGCTTTTGGATTTCTTGCAAAATATGACTTATTTCACGTGGATTCTCGTAGCATGCCTCTTGGGATCCCAATTAGCACTAGCTTAGGCCGGTGTCAGACTTTTGCGAATCCTGCGGGGTACGCGTGTTGCACCAGCGAATCGAGCTGTGTACCAGCGGTTCGAACAATGTAGCAACGACTTGTTTGGAAACCGTGGGGCTCCCTTGAACGTTGGCCCTCGCCACTTCCATCGTTCAATCCGTTGGCACATAGTTCGATCCGCTGGTACCAGCTCGATTCTCTGGTGCAGAATGGCATCGCGAGCGAATCGCTGGATTCCCAAAGTCTGACATCAGCCTTAACCAAACATCCATAGTGCCGCCTCGTACGCCGCTCTCATTCACAATAAGTCATTTCAGTGAATAGTTGCTCAACAAAGAAAAGCGAGCGCAGTTAGGTGTCGCAGAGAGGATTTAGCCCTCAACAAAACTCCTACCGCAATAGCCGGCCCTGCGTAGATGTATTATACTTCGTTTTTTACTTGGTTTGATCCCAATATCAGTGCGTATGCAAATAAGAAGTCATTGGGCCAGTTGATACTAGTGAGCGATCCGCCCACTGTGAACGGTCACGCTTGCTAATGATCGAGTCCGAGAAAGTTGGGCATTGTGTTCTTCAATGGTAATCTTAGGCAGTTGTTGCAGTTTACAAGCCGATGCCATAAGCCAAATTCCAGGACCAGACGAATCATTCGAAATGGTCCCACCAGACGTTCCCGAAGAATCGGCACCGAAGATCATTGAACCGCTTCATTCGGCCTCATTTATTGACGGTAGCTTTTTTTGGTATATTTTACATATTTCTGTTTTCTATGGTAACTTGATTCAAAACTCGACATCAGGAAACCGTGGGTCCCAAGTTGGCTCTTAATTATCACCTTCACCCGATGGCAGCCTACATGGGCTGCCTTTGCATCGGTTCGAAGAAATGTTAAAATGCTCCACCATAGAGGTTTTCCGAGCTCTACGAAATTTTCGGACTGACGACCACAAACCCAAAAAGGGGTGTCAAGAGTGTGTCGAATGTGAAAGCACTCCACCTATTGCTCTCTCAGCAGAAGTGCTGCCGTTTTACAATTCGGTTAGGAAAAGAACTCGTGCACAAGGAGCCTCGTGGGACTCCCCCTCATGGTCTTTTCCATGAAATTCATGCAGTATCTAGCGATCAAAACTCGATTTATCATTGTGATTCTCTTTCCAGCATCCTGGAAGGTTCTGCATCGAACCGTCATTGCGATTCTTTTTTCGGCATCGTGGAACTTTCTGCATCCAGCTGTCATTTATTCAATTGTTTTCTTTCGCTTTCCGTATATTCTGAATATGAAAAGATAGTTGTACTTCCACTACTGGGTAACCTTAAAGGCAGGGACCATGGCTGGAGGGCGGTCCGATTTGATGACGTCATTGAACGCCCATTCTCTAGGGTGAGATTGGACCGCCTGTTACTCCACTGATGACATTCAATGACGTCATCAAAATCGCATCGCCTCCAGACCAAAAGTTGTTCACCGCGTTAATGGTGCAAGTAGTACTGTCTATTCCTGAAGGATTAAGCACACCTTCCACAGGCCGTGGGTCGAGACCTGCCCCTTGACTGCGGCTCTGATCTGAGAACTTCTGTCCTCAGAATATACGGAGTTAAGGGCATTTCCAGAACGCCGGCCACTTCCTTCTTTATGGCCTTTGTGCTCGGAAACGTGGAAGACAATGTCCCAGTAGCTTTCACCTTTTGCTCAGAAGAGGTCCACGTCAATAGTTCCTTCCATTCCAGGCCAGCCAATGCTTCTTCGCTGTCGTATCAAGGCGGTGCCTTCGGCTGCGATCGTTTGGTCGAAGGATGATATCAATGTCGAAGAATGGGTCATCAATAAAGATATCGTCACCCAGGTACTCCACACAATATAGCTCACTAGAGCCCTTCTTTTTTAAAATTTATCACTTCCAGATACATCCGGATGGAATTTGTGAACTAATGAATCCCGAAGTCTACCCAGAAGACAGCGGCCTCTACAAGTGCACAGCTACTAATCCGCATGGAACTGCAGAAACCGCCGCTTACATCAATATTCATGGTGGGTTTTTGGAAATTTAAGAGTCAAGCTATTACGGACCAGGAAAATTTCTGTTGTACAGGAATCGACTACGCGAAGAGCCAGGAGGATGGCTCAGCAAGTGTTGAGTCAGCGATGATGTCGGAGGAGCCACCAAAGTTCGTCGAGAAGCTGACCGCTGAGACGGACGGCGCCTATGATTTGAACTATGTTCGACTTATCTGCAGGGTCAAGAGGTACTAAAAATTGCTCTCATGAGAGATATCCCGGCAATGACTCTGACCATAGGTGGAATTAGCGGTAGGCCGACTGGGTGTGACACATTTAATTCTGGAAAGTGGGGAGATGAGGGAAATCGGGCTGTTGAATAATTGATGAACGTTTCAGTGCTGTTACCACCACAATCAGCTGGTGGAAGAACGACGTGCAACTGATTCCTGGAGAAAAGTACGAACTTCACGAATTCTCCGACGGTGCTCTTATTTTGACGATTTACTCGCCAACTCCTTCAGACAATGGTGAATCTAATTTTGTGAAATTAGACATTCCTAAGGTTGCCGTTGTTTGTCCTCAGGTATTGAGGAATACCCTTATGATCAATAGCAACATTGTAGCTATGATATAATCCACCATGTATGTCATGGCGATGTAACTGACACGGGTGCGAGTTACTTGAGCGAAATTTCGTAGAAGCGCAAGGAGCAGTCATGTAGAAAGGGACTAGATAAGGCAAATGCGCAGAAGGGACTCGACCTGGTGACAATAGTCGAATAGTGGCAGGAATCAAGGACTATGAAAAAGGAGGAAGAGGACCAGTTGAT